GGGCTGAGAGTGGAGGAAGGGTTTAGGGTTTAGGGTTTAGGGTTTTTTAGGGTTTAGGGTTTTTAGGGTTTAGGGTTTAGGGTTTAGGGTTTAGGGTTTAGGTTTAGGGTTTAGGGTTTAGGGTTTATAGAAATTGTATAGGGTTTGGGTCCCAATAAGTTTTGAGCGAAAGTTTTGAGCGAAAGTTTTGAGCGAAAGTTTTGTTTTTAAATATTAGGTTTTAGGGTCGGCGTGGGGGGGGGGGGGGGGGGGGGGGGGGGGGGGGGCGGCGGGACGGGGGGAAGGCTGAAACATCGAGGTTTCTGGAATTTATAATGATTCAATCATCCTTTGCATATTTCTGAAATGATTTTCAATTTATTTTGAGATGTTCAATGGAATATTTTGAAAACCATTTTTAAATTATGGATAGAGTTTTTTTGATTCTGAATCATTGCAAGGGTTTAGGGTTTAGGGTTTCTAGAAATTGTATAGGGTTTGGGTCCCAATAAGTTTTGAGCGAAAGTTTTGTGCGAAAGTTTTGAGCGAAAGTTTTTTTTTTAATATCAGGTTTTAGGGTCGGCGTGGGGGGGGGGGGGCGGAGGGTGGTGCGGCGGGACGGGGGGAAGGCTGAAAAATCGAGGTTTCTGGAATTATAGAGATTCAATCATCCTTTGCATATTTCTGAAATGATTTTCAATTTATTTTGAGATTTTCAATGGAATATTTTGAAAACCATTTTTAAATTATGGATAGAGTTTTTTGATTCTGAATCATTTCAATTTATTTTGAGGTTTCCAATGAGCTCCCGGAGCTCAAAATTAACTCCCAAAGCTCAAAATTAGCTCGCGGAGCTCAAAATTAGCTCCCGGAGCTCAAAATTAGCTCCGGAGCCCAAAATTAGCTCCCGGAGCTCAAAATTAGCTCCTGGAGTTTAAAATTAACTCCGGAGCTCAAAATTAGCTCCCGGAGCTCAAAATTAGCTCCCAGAGCTCAAAATTAACTCCCGGACTTCAAAATTAGCTCCCAGAAATCAAAATTAGTTCCCAGAGCTCAAAATTAATTCCCAGAGCTCAAAATTAGCTCCCAAAGCTCAAAATTAGCTCCCAGAACTCAAAATTAGCTCCCGGAGCTCAAAAATTCGCTCCCGGAGCTCAAATAGCTCCCGCAGCTCAAAATTAGCTCCCGGAACTCAAAATTAAGTCCCAGAGCTCAGATTAGCTCCCGCAGCTCAAAATAAGCTCCCGGAGCACAAAATTAGCTCCCAGAGCTCAAAATTGATTCCCGAAGCTCCAAATTTGCTCCCGAACTTCTTAGCCCCGGAGCTCAAAATTAGCTCCCGGAGCTCAAAATTAGCTCCCGGAGCTCAAAATTAGCTCCCAGAGCTCAAAATTAATTCCCATAGCTCAAAATTAGCTCCCAAAGCTCAAAATTAGCTCCCGGAGCTCAAAATTAGCTCCTGGAGTTTAAAATTAATTCCGGAGCTCAAAATTAGCTCCCGGAGCTCAAAATTAGCTCCCAGAATTCTAAATTAGGTCCCGGAGCTTAAAATTAGCTCCCAGAGCTCAGAATTTGCTCCCAGCTTAAAATTATTAGATCCCGGAGCTCAAAATTAAGTCCCAGAGCTCAAAATTAATTCCCAGAGCCCAAAATTTGCTCCCAAAGCTCAAAATTAGCTCCCGGAGCTCAAAATTAGCTCCCGGAGCTCAAAATTTGCTCCGGAGCTCAAAATTAGCTCCCGGTGCTCAAAATTAACTCCCGGAGCTCAAAATTAACTCGCGGAGCTCCAAATTAGCTCCCGGAGCTCCAGGTTAGCTCCCAAAGCTCCAAATTTGCTCCCGAACTTCAAAATTAGCTCCCGGAGCTCAAAATTAGCTCCGGAGCTCAAAATGAACTCCCGGAGCTCAACATTAGCTCCGAGAATTCAAAATTAATTCCCAGAAGCCAAAAAAATCTCCCTCAAAATTAACTCCCAAGGCTAAGTAAATTGAGCATCCGAGCAGACAAAGGAGGTTTAAGTAAACTGCGTAGCCGTGACTAGGCAAAAGGAATTTAGGGCTCAGACAAATAACTTTGAAAAATCATAATGATAACACATACAATTTCTATTTATTTTGTCTTGAGGGTTTAGGGTTTAGGGTTTAGGGTTTAGGGTTTAGGGGTACGTACCGTAAACCCGAAACAAAACACGAAAACCCTGAACCCAGAACCATACAACCCACAGCTTCGCAAGGAGGGGCACCCTAGTTGTACAGAGCTTGTGGAGGAACCCTCAACCCTCAACCCTCAACCCTCAACCCTCAACCCTCAACCCTCAACCCTCAACCCTCAACCCTAAACCCTAAACCCTAAACCCTAAACCCTAAACCCTAAACCCTAAAGGGTTTTGCAACCCTAAGCCTTAAGCCCAAAACCCTGAACCTCGCAGGCAAGCGACGGCGAAGAGCAGCGCCCCGTCATAGAGCAGCTCCACACCAGGCTCGAAACCTTCAGCAAGTGAACTACAGAAGGCTAGGGTCCCTAAACCCTAAACCCTAAACCCTAAACCCTAAACCCTAAACCAAAATGTGTGGTTCTACTCCTAGGTCCTCCTAGATTGTCTGGAACTTCAACCCATATGGACTTATAAGCCCTGAACCCTAAGCCCTAAATCCTAAACCCCTCAACCCCACAAACCTCAGCTGTGCTGCCTTTTGTGAGCAAAATTGGGTTTAGGGTTTGGGGTGTAGGGTTTAGGGTTTAGGGTTTAGGGTTTAGGGTTTAGGGTTCAGGGTTTAGGGTTTAGGGTTTAGGCTTGCGTGTTTCCCTACGACTACTGTTAAATTAAATCAAGATGGAGCAAAGCTGGCCATGCTGAAGGACGCCACACTAGCACCTAGGATGCCCCCCAGAAGTGTCCTTCTCCTAATTACTTTTGTCGGCTACTGGAACAACAGCCCTAAACCCTAAACCCTAAACCCTAAACCCTAAACCCTAAACCCCAAACCCCAAACCCTAACAACGACGCCTTGAAGGGAAGATGTCAGCTGCGAGAGGCTTGCGCCCAATGCCTTGGGAAAATCCATCGGCGGTAGTTGGTACTGACCCAAACTTCCTGATCACAAATGCCCTTAAAAAACAAAGCACAAACCCTAAACCCCAAGCCCGAACCGGAAATAAGCCCTAAAACCCTAAAACCCTAAACCCTAAAACCCAAACCCCTAAACCCTACACCCTAAACCCTAAACTCTAAACCCAACCAGGCCTAACCCTATACCCTAAACCCCAAGCCCTAAACTCCAAAGCCAAAGACCAGAAGCTTCCATGAACACCAACCAAGCGATGCCACAATCCCAGGGGCTGTGCTGGTGGCATTTGGGCGCGGGGCCCTAGCAGCTGCTTCTGCTACAATAAACCCTAAACCCTAAACCCAAAACCCTAAACCCTAAACCCTAAACCCTACGCCCTAAGCCCTAAGCCCTAAAAGCCCTGAACATTCCTAACTCCAACAAACCCTCAAACCCTAGGCCCCAGATCCTGGAAGCCCTAAACCCTCTACCCTCTAAGGCCTTTCGGTTTCAGTGTGCCGAGTTGGGAAGGCTAGGGCTCTGACGATGAAGCAAGGGCAGTGGTGGAAGAAAGTCTCCATCAAGAAAGCCGAAATCGGCGACCCCCGCGAGTTCGCCAGCTTCTTAGGGTTTAGGGTTTAGGGTTTAGGGTTTAGGGTTTAGGGTTTAGGGTTTAGGGTTTGGGTTTAGGGTTTAGGGTTTAGGGTTCCAGAAGGATACGCCCAGCTCTTCGGATGGCGATGCTGCTGGTGAAGCCACCGAGCAGAAGCACAACCAAACAGCCGTGTCTTCCTTGACTGCCCGTCTCGAGCTCTTGAATGACATGAACTGGGTTTAGGGTTTAGGGTTTAGGGTTTAGGGTTTAGGGTTTAGGGTTTAGGAGAGCGAGGTGAAGCTTGTCAGGAAGCTCATTGCCACGCTGGAAGCTTCGAAGAAGGGCGAGGACATCACCATGATCTTGTTGCAACCCGCAGGACGCACAACGCCCCAAACCGTGAAGCCCAAGGACACGGTGCTACGAGTCAACAAGAAGATTGCTTCTCTGGGTGTTCAGGAGTTGTGGTTGAGGCTGTAGGATTTAGGGTTTAGGGTTTAAGGTTTTAATCGCCTGTGTAGTAAGCCCCCAAGTCCTAAACTGAAGCCCTAAGCCTAGGGCTCCGTAGACTTAGGGTTGAGAGGGTTACGGTTTAGAGCTGAGGGTGTAACCCTAAACCCTAAACCCTAAAATAACTTCAAGGCCTGCGTTCTTCTTCCAGACGGCAACGTCAGCACGGGCCCCGAACCGCGGGAGGAAGCCTAAACCATCCTAAACCCCTAAACCCCCGAATTGTGCTGCAGGGGTAGCTAGTTGTAGGGGTCTAGGGTTTAGGGTTTAGGGTCTAGGGTTTAGGGTTTAGGGTTTAGGGTTTGGGGTTTGGGGTTTAGGGATTATGGTGGTTCATTTCCCTGAGAACCCCAAAAAGGGTACCCTTATCAAGATATGGCTACTGGGCTACCAAGACTTGTTTTGAGGTGTTTAAATTCGGGTTTACCGGGTTTCGGGCTTAGGGGTCCTCACTGTGTCCGGGGGGCTGATGTGGAGCCGAGTTGGGATGCTTTAGGGTTTTACGGTTTAAGGTTCAGGGTTTAGTGAGTTTAGTGGTTGCTTAACTTCAAGTTCTCCGCTCTCAGCCCCCTCATCTAAGACTTTTGTACTTTGGCCCAAGATTTGTCATTCACGTCCCCGGCGCTACAGGGGCCACTTGGCACACGCATCTATGGGGTGCGGGGCCAGTTCGGCGAATGTGCATCCGATGAGGGAGCTGCGGCAGGAAAAGCGGTCCGGAGCGATCCCGTCGTATGATGTTCCTTTGTGGTACTTTACTATAACTTTAGATCTTTAGCCTTTTTGGCTTATTGGGTTTCTTAATAAGGCAGCTAAAAGTTTAATTCATAGCTACCCTCCTAAGTGCAGCCAAGGTTCTCCTGGCGGCAATGCAGGAGCAGGTGATCCCTGCGGCGTTGGTCAGACCTGGCGTGGTGACGGGGGGAGACCTACCAGCAGCCTGGAAGCATCCTGCGCTGTTGAGTTTCGAGGGCACGATGGTTTCACAGAAGGACGAGGAGGAAGACTCGAAGCCAGTTTCTAGGACCTGATTCTCTTTTTGGTTTTTCGGCTCCCTGGCCACCCCCTTTAAACCAAACAGGGCATCCGCTTTTGGTTACTTCTGGGTCCAGGTTTGGTCTTCGATGGACTCCAGCACATGGGCAACACATTGCATGAGGGGTGCGCCCATGCCGCCCGACCGCCGAGTACACGAACGCCATCTCGTGGTGCTTGATCAGCTCCTTCGGTAACCCAGTGGTGCCCTTTACCCTTTTTTGTTTTTTTTGTTTTTTTGGGTTCCGTTCTAAAGTAACCAACCCAAAAAAAGAGGGTTCCCTTATTATAAAGTGGTTGCTGTGTTACGAAGGTTCCGGCGACATGTAGAGGGCGCATCCCGAGAGTTCGCGGAGATCCTGGAGTCGTGCCGCTAAGGGTTTGGGGTTTGGGGTTTGGGGTTTGGGGTTTGGGGTTTAGGGTTTAGGGTTTAGGGTAGCTAATTGGGCTGCCCGGCGAAATCGGGTGGCCTGAGGAATGGCCCTCTGTTTGTCTGTCACATCGGCTGCCTTGGGCTAACATTGAGGGTTTAGGGTTTAGGCGTTAGGGTTTAGGGTTTAGGGTTTATTTAGGGTTTAGGGTTCAGGGTGCAGGGTTTAGGGTTCACACGACTCTTTCGCTTATGGGTGTGGCATCGGATTTGACAGGCAGTCTACGTGACTGACATCGGGGGGGCCAGTATTGAGTCCGAGTCCACGAACCGAGAGTTTAACTGGTATGATTTAGGGTTTAGGGTGTAGGGTGGAGGGCTTAGGGTGGTTTAGGGTTTAGGGTATGGGAGCTTTGGGACGTTGTGCAACAGGAACTGGCTGGCCAGACCGTCAAGATCTTAAACCCTAAGAAGCTTTAGGGTTTAGGGTTTGGGGTTTGGGGTTTGGGGTTTGGGGTTTAGGGTTTAGGGCAATTCTGACTCCACCTACGGTTCTCTTGACCATGACGGCCTTCACGGCCGGCAAGCATTTTGAGTTTTGAAGTGCCGTCCACTCAAAATTGGTCGACATCTCGCATACGAGTTCCCTTGGGACGGCTTTTGTTCTGAGATTGTTCCCAACGTAGGCGCGCTTGCTCTGAACCCTTGCATGGACTCCTGCGTTTTTGACGTCTTTTCTAGATTTAGGGTTTAGGGTTTCAGGTTTAGGGTTTAGGGTTTAGGGTTGTGGCTAGACCTGCTTCGAGGTCGGGATAGGGGCAAGAGCGGCAGGCGGAAAGCCTCATGCCTTGGCGTGCAGTTGTAATCATTGTAGTCCAGCAGGTACGATTTGAAAACCCGCGCTCGAGTGAGTACCAAGTACGGAGCTCCGGTTTCACATGTTTAATTTTCAGTCTTGTTTTATGCTGATCATCATCATATTACTACTATCCTTACTATTACTGTTATAGATATACATACATTTTTCTAGGGGTCGGAAAGTCTTTCGTGCAATTTGATATTTTAATTCGGAGTTTATATTGAAGGGCCACGCCTTTAGAGATTTTACTCTGAGAAATCCTCTGGCCTCATTCGTAATACAGTTTATTTGCAAATCTAGATTTGCCTTTAAAGACCGCGCCCTATGAAATCCTCTGCCTGTTCATAAACAAAATCTCATATTATGAACTTCGTATTCAGAGGTTGCAGCCTCAGAAATCCTCATCTGGTCTTCTTTCGTACTTTGTTGAGAAACTGATTTTTATGAGCAGTCCACACCCGAGCAAAAGAATTCTACAGTACACTTAAAGGCCACACCCTACTAAAACCTCTTCTGGCCCCACGTCATGAAAGGTCAAGAATAGAGCCACAGCTTCGTTCGCAAGTACAACAAGTGAATCAAGAGCCCACCATCCCAAGCCATCCTCTTCAAAGCCTCATTCGCTCTTGTCAAAGTGGAGTTTAATATTGCCGACCACACCCTCTGAAATCCTCCCCTGGGCCCCAACGTAGTTTGAATTAGCCCACTCCATGAGAAATCCTCATCGGACTTCGTTCGCAATTAAACCCGAGCAAAACAAACGCGTCAAGAGGCCAACCCCAAGACATTCTCTTCTAAGGCTCATTCGTAGTCAAAACCCGAATTGTAGAATTGATATTGCAGACCACACGCTATGAAATCCCCTCTGGCCCCTACGCGTAATGAAGCTTAACTGGAACTTGTATTCGAAACCCTCAGCCCCAAACCCTAAACCCCAAACCCTAAACCCTAAACCCTACATCCTCATCTGGGCTTCGCTTGTAATTCGACTTACAGGGGTCGGAATCATTTCTAATAATATTCCTAGGGTCCCTTTGTACATAGACGACAATAATTCCTCAAAACCTTATTCTGATGATTCAGGCTCCTACAGTAGATGCTTGAGCTTCGTTCGTAACTACAGCCAAGTAAAGCAGGCCACGCCCCAACACATCCTCTTCTAAGCCTCATTCGTTATCATCTAATGTAGTTGGAGTTTTTCCGTGTTTTGTACTATTCGCACGAGGTTTCACACAGAACTAGACATCCCGAAGAAGGTTTTTGCCGTACATGCTCAGCATGTCGATTTATTTCGGCACTTACGAGGGTTTTCAGAGAAAACAAGAGAAATCTAGATCATGGGGGAGGGGCCGACCATATACATATATATATATATATATATATACTATACATGATAATGCACAGCCCCCTTAATTCGCAACTATTATAACTAATCATGCCAGTAATAATAACAACAATATATGTATGTGTATATATATATATATATATGTATATATACACATAATCACCCTAAACCCTAAACCCTAAACCCTAAACCCTAAACCCTAAACCCTAAACCCTAAACCCTAGACCCTAAACCCTAAACCCTAAACCCTAAACCCTAAACCCTAAACCCTAAACCCTAAACCCTAAACCCTAACTTGGGATGGTGAGCCTCCGCCCTCACCGGCTGCGCGTGCCTGCAACATGTTCGCATGGGACCTCGCTGACTCCTTGGCCAGGATGGGCGTTTAGGGTTTAGGGTTTAGGGTTTAGGGCTAGTGGATAGGGTTTAGGGTTTAGGGCTAGTGTATGGGGTTTAGGGTTTTCAGGGTTTAAGGGGGCATTTATAGGGTTTAGGAGTTTCGGGTTTAGGGCCCGTTTATTGGGCTTAGGAGTTTGGGGTTCAGCGTTTAAAGCTGATTTATGGGGATTAGCAGGCCGAGTGGCCCATCCTGGTTGTAGTCAGGTCAAAAGTTTCCCGGCGCCAAAGCCACGTCCATGTCAAGAGTACGACGTGCATGCTAAGCTGCCGTCGTGTTAGGGCAACGTGGCTTTTTTTGTGTTCCTCGCGCCGACCTTCTCTGACTCAGAGCCGTCCTAACACAGTTCCCTGGCGCCTTGCGCCACAGATTCTGCGCTTTTGAAGAAATGTTTGTCCGGCTGGGGTTTAGGGTTTAGGGTTTAGGGTTTAGGGTTTAGGGTTTAGGGTTTAGGGTTTAGGGTTTAGGGTTTAGGGCTGCACAAACATGACGCAGAGCTGTCTCGAGAAGTGTAGCGAGCAAGCCAAGCGTTGATGCTGAGGTGGGCAGATGGTCAAAATGACAGCTGGCGCATGCTTGTAGTTAAGCAGGCCGGGCATCAGGAAGCCTGAGGCCTGAGGGTTTAGGGTTTAGGGTTTGGAATTTAGGGTTTAGGGTCGCAGGCCACCCGGCAAGTCAAAGGGCTAGTGCGCCAGGGTTTAGGGTTTAGGGTTTAGGGTACATCTGCACTTTAAGGCCCCTCAGTTCTTTCTTCCATTGTCATCGTGGCAGTTCTTATTGCTACCAGTAGTATGAAGTGCCATTGTGTATAGAATATAGAAGGTGGCCAAACACTACACCCGAAACAACGAACGCTTCTCTAGACAGGTGAGCCACAAATTCTCACAAAGGCACGGAGGACATGCACCTCAGACTTCCCTAGGACCCAGAGGGGGTCCTTATTCCCTGTCTTAGAAGCCCCTTGAAGCCAAAAAGACTGCCTTTTTTTAGGCTAGGCTTCTCTTGGGTCTAGTTGCTCTAGATTCTCAAGACACCTTCAGCGGTAGGCGGAAACCCTCAAAACCCTAAAGCCTAAACCCTAAACCCTAAACCCTAAACCCTAAACCCTAAACCCTAAACCCTAAACCCTACGCAAATCCTCAAGCCACCGAGTTGGGGAGACTAACCACTGGGCTCCCTTCTGACTGTCCTTGTTCCGGGCTTAGGGTTTAGGGTTTAGGGTTTAGGGTTTAGGGTTTAGGGTTTAGGGTTTAGGGTTAGGGTTCAGGCGGTTTAGGATGCTTCGGGGTTTCTGGAAACTCTAAACCTTCAGCCCTAAACCCTCAGCCCTATAAGTCCTCACACCCTAAAGCCCTAAAACCCTAAACCTAAATCCTAAACCCTAGCCCTAAACCCTAAATCTCAAAACCCTTCCGAACAAGAGCCGCCCCAGGATGCTACCTCACACCCCTCGGGGAGCCTGATCTCCAGGATGACGAGGTGGCGCCCCCTTTTGGGTTTAGGGTTTAGGGCTAGGGTTTAGGGTTTAGGGTTTCGGGTTTAGGGTTTAGGGTTTTTGGGTTTTGGGTTTTGGGTTTTGGGTTTCGGGTTTAGGGTTTAGGGTTTAGGGTTAGGGTACTACCAGGCCTCGCCCTCCCCCCCAAGAAGTCGAGACCTGTCATTGCTGTGCGTTTAACCTCGGCGAGTTCGAGGTTGATTGTTGATTTGAAAGGCAATGCTCCAAAAAAGAGGGGTCTGAGAGATATACCTGCAATACACGAATTGGGGTTCAAGGTTTCGGGCTCTTAACCCTAAGCCCCTCCACAGACTCTAGAGTCAAATCCGAGCTGGTCAGGCCAACGTCGTCCTGGACGCCCCCATTCAGGAGGGCGATGAGGATGAGGATGAGGAGGCTGGAACGCTTGGGTTTAGGGTTTAGGGTTTCGGGTTTAGGGTTTAGGGTTACTTGGGTTCAGGGCCAGGCCATTTCCTGGGGCTTTGATGATTGCATTCGGCGAGTGTATATAGGCTTTCGTATGCATGTACATGGCGTGTCGTTGTGGGGATGCGAGTACGAGAAGCTATACTTCGAATCATAACAAGACTTTCAGCGCAAGTCGTCCTCCTGCTTTGGGGCAAAAGGATCAACACTCAAACCCCCTGGACCGTTTCTGAACAGACACTTCCACAAGTGAAAGCTTCAAGCTACACAGAGTTCAACCGCTGCGGTACTTCTACACACCAGTTGTCAAGGGCTTAGGGCGTCAAGCGATTATGGAGACTCGTTTGACCCCCCCCCCCCCCCCAGAACAGTGAAGCAACGCGAAGCCTTAAACCTCAATCCCTAACAGCGAACTCCCCCCCCCCCCCAAAAAAAAAAAAAAAAAACGAAACAAACAGACTCTTGCCCCCCCCCCCCCCCCCCCC